TTTGCTCAAATTAATGTAATTGCTCAATATTTCACGTACACGTATATTGTTCGTGTGCTGCTCTATTCTAAATATGATCTGAGAATGATTGCATTTTGTTTTTGGTAATTAATTGTGTCATTGTTTCAACAAACTTTAACGAACAAACGAGGACTTCAAGGTATTTATCCAAGTTGAATTATGTTTTATTCACATTTTCCTGCGCACTCGCAAATTAATAGTTTATCTCAATTTTCCCGTTGATTAGACAAGGTAATATTATTAGCACACTTATGAAATCGTAAGTAAAAGGGAACAGAACGAACGAGCACATAAATAAATAAATTTGAACAGAGAGATTGATCGAGAATAAGTTAGCTTGTAAATTTAATAAGATACAATGCGAATAAAGAAGAACGAGAAGTAATCAACGAGCTAAGCGTGATATAGCGTTGAAAATGACCTCATTTTGTGTACACCGGTATACAATTTATCTCACTCTCTGAGCTTGCAGGAGAGACGAGAGAGAGAGAGGAGCGCACATGCACGAAACATCGGTTGAATGACGAGTGCCATTGTCGCACGTACGCTCATATGTAGAGTTTGATTGTCGGCGTCGCCCGTTATATCTCGACTGACGAAACGTGGGAAACGGGTGCATATTAATTAATTCTAACTCCAGCTTCGTAAGTGACGACCTAATTCTGCGTGATTGCGCGAGTGGGCTGAAGCAAACTGCGTTCCGATACGAGTTGGGTGCGCGATTCTTGGTTCGGGAATTGGGATTTAGCGGATGTACCTAACGTGATTAGCCGATCGGCGCGTTTCACGCGCAATGCCGCTCGGCGTCCGACCACGACCGGACTTTGATCCGATAATCCGCTTATTTTGCAAAAGGCCGGCAATTTAGTGGCGAAATGCGTGGAAAACACGTGCACACCAGAAAATGATGCATCATCACTGCCGGCATTGCTAAAATTTTCCTGCGAACATCAAGCGCATCCATTATGGATGAGAATTGCTAACAAAGAAAGATCAGATATGCTCTAACTTATAGCGTAAATAACCTCGTTCACAAAATGTTTCACGAGCAAATCCGTTATCTACAAAATCCGTTTATCTACAAAACGCGAATACCTTGGAATTGTTATGATTACTGTAATTAAAGAAAGTCGTGGGAAAATCATGCAAAAGAGCTTCAACGTGAGATTTTAACTCTTCAAAATGTAATAAATATTCTTGCAAGAAAATATTACAATAATAACGAAAAAATATAATAATAATACAAAAAATTACATTAATATTAAAATATTGTTAGATGTATGTACACATATATCATTACGCATTATATCTTCGCGTTCATATGTCGTCATCACATTTATAATTATATATAAATAACAAAGATAATAATTATATAAAACAAAAATTTTATTACAATTCGAACAATATTTTTGAAATATTTATGAGCAGAACATGATTTTTCTTTGAGACTCTTAATGTTTTAAAATAGTACAACTTTATTATATCAAAATTAAGATGCAAAATTTCACCGTCTTTGAATATCAATTAATAGTCAAAATGTCAATTAATAGTATCATTTACTCTGCTGATTTTACGTTTTACCAAAATATCATTAACTAGACTTGAAAGTTTTTTGTGAAAATGGTACGTGCACTGTGTTAGTTTTGAACAGCTGAGCGCGCTTTTCGTTTCTCTCTTTGTTTCTCTCAAGTTAAATTGAATCTTTCCAAACATTTCACACTTTCATGTAAATTTTGTATATCTTTTTTTCTGAATATCTTTGTAGAAAATTTATGTTATCGTTTATCGAATTGTCAGTTTGGTCTTATGCAGGAAATGTCAAGTGCTCTCTCCGATATATCAGTTAATTATTTCTAGCAGCGAAACGGAAGGATGTCACTGTCAGAACGAAATAAACGGAAATGTGGAATCTCAGCGTCCTGAAGTCCGATGGCGATGATTCGTGCTGACGTGATACGAACGGAAGATATAATTAGAAATGAGATATCGAGTCAGAGAGAGAGAGAGAGAAACAGAGAAGGAGCAAGAAACGAAACGCTCAAAATGCAACTCTGTAACGAAACCATCGTTCTTTCCAAATTAAAAGAATAATTAAAATCGTGACTCGCGCGCACGAGAATCGTTAGAATCGAGGCTTTTGCGGATGTTGGACGATAACAAAGTTTTGCATCCCGTTGCGCCAGTCGCGAAGTGGCAAATGAAATTTTAGCGTAGCTTTCATTACGTGACGAACTGGATGCGGGATTAATAGCGTTTTAATTATAGCTTTGCCAAGAGATAAGCGTGACTGAATACATTGCGTGCTAAATGTAAAAGAGAGCAATCATACGTCTCTCTTACTCAACAAATGTTTACATATACACGTTCTGTGTTTATTATATCATAAAAATTTTATTTATAATATTTTACTGATAATTATTTATTGTGTGTGCAGTGATTATGAAATTGAAAACAAATTATATGTGAATATACTTATTGTAGGAAAAAAATTCGAAGAACTTTTAGAATTTATCTGAAATGTTGCGGACGCGTAGCATTCACGTCAAGGTACATTAAAACTTTTGTCGAATCATTAAACTCCATTATAAAGTTGCTGGATTACTGTTAGATTGATTAATGAACAAAACACAAAATGCCGTAGTCTTCCGAGTAGTTTCGATATATCTCACTAATAGTTTTTCATTCTGACAGATGATAAATAATGTTAAAATTACAACATGCGTGTGATAGGTAAATAATATTTATACAAAAGATAAAATAAATAAATTCTCTTAGTCAATCGGACGTAATTATAGATTGCTCCAAAAAAAGAAGATTAAAATAATTAATAATGATTTAAAAGAATAATATGATTGAAAAGAAGATTAACCCAGAGAAGAGTCGAGACTACTAGCACCGGAATACAGGAATATTTGAACGATATTTTATCAAAGCACACACGCTGAGAAACGTTGGGCTCGCACGGATTGTAATATATTATGAATAGTCTCTGCAAAGAAGAATAAGAGCTTCATTCAGCCATTCAGCAAAAAGTTCATGGTTTTAGCGGGCGGCTCATACTCCACAAATGACGGATTTATCGCAAAGAGAACGGATGATAAATTCGTGCCGATGTCATCATTGAAAATTTTGCGTTACTGACGCGGCGAGCGGTTCAAACTTTAATGAGGTGACGAAAGAATTTTCTGGATAAAACGCCAAGCCAAACAAAGATAGATTTATGTCACGGACGGAATGTCGACAGGTGAAGTTAAACTTTGCCGGAATTTCTGACGGAATTCCCATCAAACTTTTCAGATCTAATACTGCTGTTAAAAGTTACAAAACGATAACGAAAATCTGCAGCAGATGCTCAACGACACGTTGTGATACGGTAAAACTTTACGGAAAAATAAAAGATTGTGAGAAGATGTGCTAGAAAAATCTAGAACATCTTTTCTATAAGACTTGTATTTTACTTTATGTAATTATAGACTTATTGTACCTTAATTATAAGACTTGTATTACTTTATGTAATTATATATTATTCTCTGACGATATTACATTCCGGCACAGAAATCTTGAAATTCAAAATAATAAGATTTTAGCGAGCAAACAATAGTTGAAGAAATATATTTTTCACTGTTCCGTTTACCGGCAAAATCGTTTAAGAATATATGGTGCGTGTTTTGCAGTATACACGTAGCATCGCATAGAATTTTCTACACAGCTTTCGACAAAGAAAATTCAATATCTTCTCTCTCGTCGGAAATTTCCATAGCGCGCGCTAAGGAACGCCGTAATAGTTTTATTCATGGCCAAGTAGCGCGAAATCCGCTGATGCGTACGTGACAATTGTGTTGCCATTTCTGTGTCCGTGAAGAAGGTGAGCGCGTCTTGAAAATATCTCTGGCAACAATTCTTAATGCGATTATAAGTTATCCAAGCCTGACAATTTTTTAGAAAGCATCAGTGCGACGAAACGTGCTTTGGGAATTCAACTGACGAGCTTTAGCAAGAAAGCCTTCTTTTCCCGCTCTATCGCATTAATTTATTATCGCTCGGATGATCCGGCAGATTACGCTATGTGAAAACGGCAGAGAATAGGAATTATAATAAGATCGTTCCGCCGATTAATAGAGCGGTACTTCGTTCGCAAGTTGTCCCGGCAAAGCACTCTTGCTAACTTGCAAACGCAATTGTTAAGAGTAATATTGCAGTACTGGACGAGCAAAAGGAAACCCTTGAGTTTACCGCAATTCCGTGGCTCAGCGCCCTAAATTCAACGTAACGAAAGAGACGATCACGAGTTATATATAACACGTCCCCTTTGAGCCTTTTCGGCAGCAAGGGCGATAAATTCTGCTCTTTTGCTCGATAACGCCTTTCCTTTACCCGAAGCCACTTCATGCACGCTGGAAAAGTTTTTCTGGCCGTTGCGTATTTTTACAAGAACTTTCTCGTCTAATAACTTTTTGATTTTACGAGTTGTTACGTCTCCGACTCATTTTATATATCTTATTCGCAAACATTTTAAAAAATATATAAATAGTAGATAAATTTATAAATAAACAATATAATTATTCTTTTCATTAAGATTCTTTATTTTATTGTGTAACACAGTCGTTGGTAAGTGAAAAAGAGTTTTCAGTTCGTGACTGCACTTGTGTTTTCTCTCTCCGCTTGTGTTTTCTTATACTCAATTGTACGGTTTAATAGTAACCTTTTACAGAGATTCTTTCCACGTCCGTTATGCAAACTATATGTAAATATATGCAAATATCTAATTGCATTAACAGCGCGACGAAAAAATTTTAGCGTTTGGAAAAACAATATCGAACTTTTGCTTCGGTGTTTTAACTATTCGTTCTTTTAAGCATTTATTTGCGCACGTTCTCAGCTTATAGATACATCGAATTTTCCTACGTGACTGGCAATAGCTTCGGCTAGATAAAGTTTCGTGACTGGTAAAGTGCATGCGAAATAATTTGTGGGCTTACCTCCTCCCAGACAAGCTGCTTGCTAACCCCCGGTCGGAGATTCATAATTTTCAACTCCGCCGCTTTTAAGACACCATCTTGAGTGAACTCGACATTCGGCTTTCCTTGATCACTCTCAACCGAGACGTTTTTCAGATATCTGTAAAGGAAGAGACGCGGGCCACGTTATATCAAGTGAACGAGGAGCAATATATTTTTATTTTTACGACAGAAGAGATAGTAATTTCGAAAACATGAAATCATATGTAATTTCAATATTTATTTATAACAGCAATACAAACTTCGTAACTTTTATCAAAATAATAACATTTATACATGTATGAAATGTCAGAATATCAAATATAAATGTTAATTATATGTTAATAGAATCATAAAAAGTATCGTTCAAATATAAAATAATATATTTATATTGTGTGTGAGAGAGAGAGAGAGAGAGAAAGAGAAATTTTGTATCATATCGTGAAATCAAATTGTGACAGCACGAATACGAGAAATATTTTATCTAATAAAAATTTAAGAAATATTCAAAATACTTAAAAAAATTAAACTTCTTCAGAGATTCACCGCATCGGAAAGTCTTTTACGAAATTCTTTTGAAGACATTTTTGCGAAAATGCTGGATAAACAAATCCACTCGTTTGAAAAACTTATGCAAGATTACTTGAAAAACAGATCCCCTGTGCTCCATCGTGATTCACCGGCGCCCTCGCAGCTCAGCTGAGTGTTGAGGCTGCGATTCGCATTTTTCGGATCGTTGACGAAGTCCTCGACACCGTAAGCATAGACCTTGATTGCCGTCGTGATCTCACTTACCAAGCTCTCCATGCTCGTATCGAAATGCACGCCTGCAACCATCAAGCGAGTTCGTTAAAGCGATTTCATTACCAGCGAGTTTTATATTGCTTCTCATATGGATTCAATCACCGATTCATATCGGCGCATCAGGATTTTCTGTATTTTTCACCTTCCACCGCTGATGGTAATCGGGTGGAAAGGGACAGCTAACCGAGCGAGGTTGTAAATAATTCACGAGACACGGATTCTATCTCTCAATATAGGGCTTATTGCTCGGCCTTTTTGATACTCGCAGCTCTGTCCGAGCACGCGGACGTTTAGAGAAATTGGATTCTTGCAGTAATCGGCATCGGCTTGCTTCGATTATTTTTCTCGGTCATTTCTGAATAAATCCGCGGTTCTGTTTATATTACATGAAGCTACTTGGAAGAGAGAAAAATATGTTTTATGTAAATAAAATATAATTTTGTCCTTTCTTTTTTAAGACAAAATTCCATTTTTTCTGCAACTTTTTAAATTTTAACATTTTACATATTAACATTTACTAACATTTTACATATTAGCTAGTTCTTATCTAAATTAATTAAATAAAAGAATAAAAATATAAAGTTTATATATACAACGTAAGAGAAAAAAGAAATAACGATGAAAGAGTTTTCTCTAGTTTTATGGTAAATTTTTTCAACGAGAATGTATTATTTTCGCAGCCGAGTTTATTTTGCACGGAAATGATTTGTCGATATGTACAAACCATGTATATTTCTTTTTTTTTTTTTACAAAAGAATTATGTTATTTGTATTTTGCAACAACATTTTATTTGGCCAGATTGTTAATTGCGAGACGGCGCAAAACATTTCCATAAATATCGACAATGCCAGAAGGACGTGAGAGGAAGAAAAATTATCGCAAGGCCGAGAAATATCGGCGATTCACGCAAGAATTGTATAGTCACCTTCTTCTCTCCAACGCGTACAACGAGATTGAACCCCGTGAGAGTTGAGTCAACAAAATTTCTCTACATTGTATGAATATGTTCTTGAATGTGATATTTGTTGCGGACGATGCAAGAAAGATACTTTGGCGTAGAAAGTTAACGTTTTTCACATTTGACTTTATCGCCTGCAGCAAAAATGTGAACAAAATGCAAAGCAGGTTATATAATAAAATTATTAAACAGTTATATAATAAAATTTTTTATAACATATTCAATGCTGCGGTTTTGTGTTAGCGAAAGGCTGAACGTTAGTCGAAAAAGGTGATTGATCAACGTGTTCACGCAGAGAGAAATATTGAATAGAAGCAACGTTTTTGCTCTACTCGACTCGCAGCAATCGCTTTTAAAAAAAAACGCAAGATGTTTCCATTTTATACAAAGAGAATAAGTTTACCGCGCTAGTTTTAGCATCACGCAAAAATTCACAGACGCCAGAGATTCAACCTGTGTTACGTTATTCTACGCGGTTCACTGGATGGAATTCGACGAATTTATTTTTCCCACAAGGATATTCTCGACTGAATCTCAAGGAAGAAATCAATTTTCTCTTTCCGCGATTCTGATCACGGTGTGAACAACTCTTCCGTTTACCCGTCCGAGAGAAGTGCATTCTTCTCGAAGAAGGCGTATTCTGAATGGTAACGCATAAGCGATGTAAATACTTTTTTCACAGAAATATAAAAGTCATCTAAATACAAAGCGTAAAAGAAATATATATGTTGTTTCTTCTTTTCCGTGATATATTACTTGATTTCCTTGATGTACGCTATGCTTACTTAGTGTTTTGAGTGTTTTTTTTTGTGTTTTTTTTTCAAATGTTAAAAAAACCAATATTAGATGAGTGTATGTGTACATAATAATTTTATTAAATAAGTGTATTAAATCTAATATTACTTGTTTTTGAAAAAAACATGTTTAACCAATAATTTTCAACTTTATTCTAACAATAAGTTATTTTAAATATTGATATATACAATGAGATGTAGTTTACGCTACATTTAATATTATTTGTTCTTGAAGAAAGCATGTTTAACCAATAATTTTCAACTTTATTCTAACAATAAGTTATTTTAAATATATTGTGATATATACAATGAGATGTAGTTTACGCTGATTAAATGAAACCAGAGATACGCAAAATGCGAAACGGTATTTTCAGCTCGCATGAAAGCTCGGATTTAGCGACCGCAAATATGTGGGTATATGTAATATCCGCTACTCACCTAACATGCCGACCGGGAACTGGCTCGGGGTCTGTAGATTTTCAATAACGCTCTGCGTGACAACCCACACGTAATTTTCACCAGTAATTTTATAATCCTTGGCAGCGGTCAGGATGTGAGTAGCTTCCTCCCGGGTGGAGTAGAGCAGCATCACTCGGGATTCGCTGTTGACCAACTCGAGTAGATCTTGCGGTTGAGTGACCAGAATGGCGCTCAGTATGGTGAACTTGAATGTGTCCTGCATGTCGGAGATTCTCTCTCTGACCGCCTGTATGAAGTCGTCGTGACCAGCTATTTGCGAGGTGACTACGCTAAACTGATGCCACTTGTATCTCTCCAGGATACTCAGCATCGCCGCGGTCTGATGTTCCAGCGACGGCGCCAGCTGCAACTGCAGGCTGCTCTGTGACGCCCGCTGCAAACCAATGGAATTCTCGTAATGTTTCACGAAAGCTGGCAAAGCATGCACACAGACGATGCGCAACACTTCCGAGTAATTTTAAGTTAAGTTTTGTGTGTGTAAACGAAAAAAAAACTACTTCTAGAATATATAAAATTTGAGTTATTTAAATTGCGCATCTCTCAGTTGCGCATTTTAATTCAAGAGATTCTTTTCAACATGAAAAACAAATTCGTACTTGCAAGCAAATATTCTTTACGTGTCGGAGATATCATATAACTTTTTTCGAATTAAATAAAATAGAAAATGTAATGCTTTCAAGATTAAAACAACAAGACGAAAAATAGAACCATATATGAAGCATAAGACTCCTAGTGTGAGAAATGACGCAGTAAATGTTTATTAACAAATATTTGACTTAAATTTATTAGTTCGAGAGTTGTCGCTAGTTTGCAGAAGAAACGTTACTTTGACGTCTTGGCTGACATTTTGTTTTTGTTTCTTCTCAAACATGTTTATATTTACTTCAACATCAGTACGTTTTTTTTACTTTTTATTTTATTACTATTTTTGAAATTAATTTGCAAATTTTGTACGTTTCTGTAATTATTTATACTTTCTAAGACGTCATTATGTTTTTTTTTTTTTATTCAGTCTGATAATGATTACAATAAAATTCTACCGTTTTTTTTATTTTAGCTTACCCTCTCGAGACCGGAGTTATCGGCGTTCCATGCGATCACAGGAATTCCTAGGTAACCGGCCAATTGGAGAAAATATTGAGCACTGGCCGTACTACGTCCGTATTGCTCATAGTTCATGAGATACAAGATGGCCGATACGTTCACAGAAAGAAAGTCCTTGCAAAGCGAATCTAAAATCGCTGAAACATAAATTATTGCATCACATTAGCACGATAACTTTAAGAAACAGAATTACTTTACTTCCCCTAAAATTTCGTCTTTCATAAAAGAAAGTTTTAATTTTACTTCATAACTCTGATATAAATTACATAATCTCGAATTACTATCTGACACAATTATATAAATGAAAATATTTTTTTCCATATTTCTTTCCTTCTTAATTTAGAATTTTTACTATTGACTTACCATGAAAAATGCATGATAAACATTGCGACATTCAAATTACAACACTTTAATAGATTGTTATCGCGTAAATCCATTAAATACCGAAATTATTGCGTGATCGATTAGCCGCAGAAATAAAGTGATTCAGTTTGAGTTTTCGCGACCCTCGTTGTAGTTACGCTGCGTTATTTCAACTAAATTTCTGCGTTTTTATCATAAGCGTTCACCCATTTTTCGAAAAGCGAGAGGGCAAAGCAACGACGATATTCCGTCCACACGAATGCAGTTCGACCCGCTTCACGCAACAACACGCTTGACCGAGTGACCTCGTTTACAACTTAAGTTCTATTGTTTCAGGGTGCAGAATATAACTTCAAGTTTTGGAGTTTACTAGATTTTTATCTTGCTAGTGTCCACCCATTATTTGATTTATTCTGCTAATCGATAACTCCAAGAGAGAAAATGTGGATTTAAACAATGACTGAATTTTGCGTCACTTCAATCTTTACGCTTTACAACAGCATTTAATTCCCAACTGCGGATGCATCTTTTAATTCAGAAATATGTTTGCGTGATAAAATGTTATTTTATTTATAAAATACAAGATCACTGTTTTGTCTTATCAAATGAGTTGTTCTCTAGTGAAAATAATCACTGTAGAAATATTGACAATATTGAAAGATCTCATCCAGTATTCGATAGAATCTTCTGTTAGGTATGAAACAACAACTTTTAAGAAGATTATGCTTGAACGCTAATAATCACCACATTAAGTGCGGCAATTAATAGTTTTTTTTAAATATACGTTACCATGTAATATAGTAATCCACTTTGTCACGCTAATCGTTGCGTTACTGTTTGTTTCTTCATTTCTATCGATAAATTTAATTATAATATTGAGAATAGGTACAATATGCGGAATAATAATCTTTACTCTTTAATATATATTGAATGTATATATAACTAATTAATTTGATTTGGAACATATATATCACGTCAGCAGCAACAAATATTATTTCAGAACACTTCCCGCTATGTAGAAATTCGTGTATTATTATTACTAACGCAACCGTAGTATAACAGTACAAAATAATATATACGGAACTCCTGGCAATTAAATAAATAAACGATAATAATGAAAGTAAGCATAATTATGTTAACGCGCAATTTTTATAATATTGCGCGTTAATATAAAATTTTTTAAATGTTTTTATAATATTTTTATAATATTTTTATATATATATAATATTAACAGAAAATTCTAGATATAAGTAACATGCGCGTCAAATTTATACAAGAATTATTTTGTTCCCAGAATAGTATGATAATCGAATGTTTCATTGATCAGAAGTATGTAAAAAACATTTATTAAAAAAAAACATTTATTAAAAAAAATATGTAATCGAGTAAAATAAAATTCTAAACACGCACTGCTTCTTAAATGTAACATTTTTAACGTAAATATTTATTTCACTTGTAACCTTGATCGCTTATCTTAAATTTTATTGCATGAATATAACAAACAGTGTTTGCGATGTTGCGTTTGTTTTGAAATGTACATCACAATCGGGTAGGTAACTCTTGAAAACGATAAACGTTCAAAGAGAGTAACGAATGCGACAAACTAGACAAGTCGAAGCCGCTTTTTTTAAATTCTCGTCAAGTATTATTAACGAGCAGGTTATATACAGCTCAATAATGTTTGGTGTAAACCGATAAATGGGTTATTTACGACTTTGCATGTTTCGCGAAAAGTAATAATTCCTAAATGGAATGTTGGACTTCCACATATAACACCGGAGGGCATTTAAATTAAATGCGTTGAATTTAGCAAATATATAAACGTTACTCGTCCTATCCGCTAAATCTACAACTTTCAAATTAATTACACGTATGAATGTGCATGTCCGATTTCATTTAATTCTACAATGTCGAACTGTTATTTTCATCGAATTATCTCTCTTATATATATGAGTAAATATGTCATATATATATATATATGTTATAATCAACGCAGTGTCTTGCCTTAATGTATAAAACAACAACCGACGCATATTCGCAATTATTAACTAAATACAATTCGTCAAAATAGTTTATCTTTCGCGTGGCTGTGTTTGCGGTGTTATTTTGATATTTACATACGATTTAACATGCTTTCGCGGCGAGGTTTCAATTAATACAACTGAAACTCATCTGCATCGGTAAGTCTGAAATCAGTCGCGTTTACTTCGACTAACAATTACCAATAAACAACAATCCTGATAAATCGTGGATTCCACACAATTAGGCCGCGAAGATATTTCGCCGGTAATTACAATATCGATAATGATCACACATCCCGTAATAGAGACCGCCGGCTTGGGGAACGCTGCCTTGGCCTTTGCGGCTCAACGTTTGCACATCAATAGTCGACTTGACCGCATACTAATTAATTAGCATACTAATTCTGCTCGCCAAGAGACAGAGTTTCATAGTTGTGTGATCGATATCCTATTGTCTTTTACCGTCTAAAATAAATATATTTTTAAACAGAATGAAAAACGTGGCCTCATGATGGTTGTCTGACTAAAACCCCGTATACCTTCCATATACACTTCGACACGTCTGACCATATGTCGTCTTGTTCTACTAAGTATATATATAATGTGAATTTATTCAGAAAAGCGCCGTATATTTGCATCGCTACTTATTCCGTCGTGTCTAGCTGAGTATTTTTTATGAAATTTTAATATGTGTGACAACTATTTCATATATTTTCATATAAATTCTGAGGTTTTACTTAATTGAAATCCGCTTGCGAAAGATACGACGTTGCGGCAAAATGTGAGTAAACCTCGAGCAACAAAAGTGCGACTTTATGGTTTTCTAAGTTCTTTATCGTGGGAAAAAGTGCAAATTGAAGACGCAAGTTTAATTAAATACACATTGAACGTGTGTGTCAAGTAAATATCTCAGTTTCGTTTCTTACCAGATTGTCTCTTTTTTTTTTTTACCTGGAGGAAAAAATGACTTACAAAGTTTAACAGCGTTGGCTGTTACTTTAAAACAGTGCGCGTAAACATTGAAGATTGAAACAGCCTTTCCAAATATTAGACGGAGAAGAAAATTTCCGGTGTGTGCGAGAATCACATACACTGTGGTAGCGAACGCGTAAACACACCGACATCAAATTCATCTCGCTGTCGTCACGCAAACATATGAGTTAAGCCTGAAATATTAGTTCGCCAGGACATCTTTCGGATGTAGGAGAAACGCACCGCCTGTGGATGTTAATTCTGACAGATCATACATCACACGCGGCAGAACAGCGAGCAAAAAAAATATTTCCCGCGGCGGAATCTTCCGGACCAATGTCGTCAGACGGGAAATTACGAGAACTTCGTGCGTGGTCATATTTGTTCGACGATGTTCGAACACGACGCTAGCGTAACACTGTACCGAGTAAACGAAAAAACATCGTCACTAGGACGAGTATTGCAGATAATTTTGCTTCTTGGTAATTGTTACCTTTATTGAATGCTGCGCGAATATTGTGTAGATGTGCATTAAGAAAAATTTTGTGAGAGAATTATGTAGATAGTGTGAATTTTATAATCTTATTATCCAGCTTAATGTTGTTATTGGATTTACTAACGTTAAATATAAAAATATTACATTATAATTCTTTTAAAATCTGTCCACTTTAATACTGCAATATTAACCAGGAATATTATTGTGACACCTGCCACAAAGCAAATAGTTACTCCGTATGCTCACACAGCGGTTTATTTATCTATCTGAGGTCTCATCACATTCCATCTAGTCGTTGCAGTAATAGGTATTTATCCTGAGAGAGAGAGAGAGAGAGAGAGAGAGAGATTTGTGTATATAAATTTTCTAATCTTAAGTCAAAAGACTTAATTAAATAAATTTTCTAATCTTATATAAATATATATATTTTTATAAATGTATATAAATTTTCTAATCTTAAGTCAAAAGACTTAATTAAAGATACAACAAATAACATTCTAACATTAAATAAAATTCTAATTTACTAATAAATGTCTAAATTTTTTCTAATATGAGAAATGTATAAAAATTGGATCATTAATGAAAAGAATAAATAAAACGTCAGAGTAGTAATGCTACATTCGTCAAAATAAAACGTGTTCTCAAAATTCGATCAGCCAAGAACAACATTTACCTGTCGGACTCGGCGTGAGCTTCATCATAGTGTGTTTGACCTGTTGCTGGCTAAACGTGTACTTGTCCAGGAATGAGAACATGGACGACGGATTCTTGCTCCTCGAATGACCTTTGTGCAGATTGTTGACGGACTTACTGATGGTCCTGAGATATTCTCTCACGCCAAAACTCGTATGCGGCAATATCAAGCCAATAGTGAGGGGCGTCTTCGAAACGTTCTTGTTGTCACGAGTAAATTCTTGTTGGCCAAATTTGCCCCCGTGATTATCCCGCGACTTCACACCGCCGTTGATTAAGACGACGAATGCGCCCATTATTAAGAGAGCGTACAAGCCGCGCATTTTTTTTTCTTTCTCTCTGAAGTCGCAACCACGGATAGTTTTGTTTCTAATTTTTTTTTTTTTTTTTTTTTTTTTTTTTTTTTTAACTTATAGAATAATGTTCACGGTCTCTTTTTGGTCAGTCAGGTGCACCATTAACATGGAACGACATATTCATGGGTTAGATAGATCACAAATGATCGATGCATGCTCTGTTCTACTTTCAATTCCTTCAGTCACTATAACGTATTTTTTTCGCACCTTCGTCATTATCATTGTCAAAGAATGAT